GGCCTGGGCTAGATTCGAACCTGCTAGCAGTGTATGTCATTGCCTTAGCTGCTTGAGCTAAGGTGCTGAGCCCATGTCTTTGCTTTTCATTTTATCCTGGGAATGCTGTTTATATCACCAAGGAGGAGTAATGAGATGATGTGTTACTTAAGAGGAGAAAAATCTCAGAGAAATCAAGACTTAGGAAGCTATGGAAACGAAATTGCTAATTAGGTAAATTACAGCATTCTCTCAAGTATACTATATGAGTGATTGATTAAACCTCATTCCAGAAAGTGCCATTATGAGTTCAAGAGCTATTTATTGTATCTACTCCGCTAGCCACAACTGATCTCCAATGGATCAAAATTATGCCATTGGCTTTTTATTTAGACTGACTTGTTATTTTAAATAGCTCTTTGTTTTATGCAATTTGAATTTTGTTCTCCAGTAGATTCTAAAACTAGCTTACTTTTTGATTTAACTTTTTATGTCGATAGTGGACTGTGTTTTTGGCTCAGATATTTAGTTGAGAATTAAAGAGCTTTTGTTCTTTCCTTCTCCATTGTACGAATGCACATACCACATTTATAGCCTTGTACTTTCTGGAACTTACTAATAGGATAATCAGTGGTTTTAAGCAATTTAAAGAGTACAGAATCACATGAAGGAAATATAATTAAGTGATTATAATGGAGGTAAACACTGAGGTAGTGTTTAGAAAATCAAGACTATTGAAATGGGCTCAGCACCCATAGCAACCGAGGCTGGCAGGTTCAAAACTGGCCTGGGCCTGCTAAACAATAATGACAACTGAAACAGAAATAGCCAGGCATTGTGGCAGTCGCCTGTAGTCCCAGTGACTTGGGAGGCTGAGGCAAGAGAATTGCTTAAGCCCAAGAGTTTGAAGTTGCTGTGAGCTGTGATGCCATGGCACTGTACCAAGGGCAACATAGACTTTGTCTCAAAAAATAATAATAATAAAATTTTAAAAGTATGACAATGAAGCCTTTTACTCTAAAATATGCTCTGTAGCTAAAACTTTTGGTTATGACACATGCATAGAGATGGAATATATTAGGTAGATGGATGAGGTAAACAAGTCAACTGAGTTGGTGCAAGACTGTAGTAATTGGAGAGGGCAGGGATAATCTGAGAAATCCAGGCCCCTCCATAGGCAAGGAGCATCAGCTCCAAAAAAATTGTGACAGTAGGATCCCAGAATTGTTAGATCTTATGAGTATCCTAGTGAAGCTGGAAGTTCCTTTTATATTTCCTGATTTTAAAAAAGGACTTATTAGGATGTCTTTAATGGGCACAGTGTCACGTGCCCGTAGTCCCAGCAGTTCAGGAAAGCTGAAGCAGGAGGATTACTTGAGGCTGAGAGTTTGAGGCTGCAGTGACTGTGGGTGCCTGTGAATAGGCACTGAATTCCAGCCTGGACAGCATAGTGAGACCCTGTCTTAAAACATATATATGACAAAACTGTACATATGGAGAACAGATGTGTAGTTGCTAGGAGTTGTAGGTAAGGAGAAGGTAGGTGAATGTAAGTGTATAGCAAGAGGGAGTTTGGGGGGATGAAGGAACTGTTTGTGTCTTAATTATGGTGGTTGTGATTTTGAAATGTATGCATGTGTTTTAAAATTTATACAACTATACACACAAAATTTCAGTTTTACTGCATGACCATTTAAAAGTAAAATTTATTTTAAAATCTTTTTTTTTCTTTTTGAGACAGTCTCACTATGTGGCCCTCAGTCGAGTGCCATGGAGTCACAGCTCACAGCAACCTCAAGCTCTTGGGCTTAAGTGATTCTCTTGCCTCAGCCTCCCAAGTAGCTGGGACTACAGGCGCCTGCCATAATGCCTGAGTATTTTTTGGTTGTAGTTGTCATTGTTTGGCAGGCACAGGCTGGGTTTGCGCTCTGGTGTATGTGGTTGGTGCCCTAGCTACTGAGCTATATGTGCTGAGCCTGAAATCTTTTTAAAAACCTAATTTTTCCTAAAATCTAATCCCTAGGTAAATTTCCTTCAAAATGTATGATATACAATTCTTTTTTTTTCTTTTTTTTTAGACAATCTCAAGCTGTTGGCCTGGTTAGAGTGCTGTGGCATCATAGCTTACAGTAACCTCTGACTTGGGCTCAAGCTATCTTCTTGCTAGTTTTTCTATTTTCAGTAGAGATGAGGTCTCACTTTTGTTTAGGCTGGTCTTGAACTCCAATAATGTCAGGTCTCCAATAATGAGTTCAAGCAATCCACCCATCTCAGCCTTCCAGAGTGCTAGGATTACAGGCATGAGCCACCGTACCAGCTAATAAAATTCTTGACTTTGGCACCCCTTTTGTCTTAAATGGAACAAGTTGTTACATTTGGTGGATCTTGCATATCGATAGACAAATGGAGCAAATTTGAACTTATTTTCAAATGTTGGGGCCATAGTAGTAAATGGTGAAGTACAGGGACTAGTAGATTCACAGGGAATTAGTTATTAAAAAGAACAGAAGGACAAGCTTAAAGGCTTTTTTCTTTTTAAAAACAAAACAAGGGAGAAATGGTACTGTATGCTTTCTTTGTCAATTTAAGAACTGTATATATGCTTTTGTGTGGAAAGTCAATTTACAAAATACTCTGTGAACTTAAAATTTCTTATTTGGCATATATCTTATACTAAATTTCACTTCTAATTTTATTGAGATTTGCTTAGAGGCCAAATATATTTGCTTTGACTATATAAATTTATCAATGAAAGAATCCTAGACCTTCACGGATTATAGCAGCCTCTACTTTTACTTTTAGTGTGTTCTTAAAAACTATAACTTGAGAAAGAAAAATAGAGAGCAAATACAAGGGGCTGTTCTGTTCCTAGAAAATTAAAAATGAAAAATTTCAGAACCCTCAATTTCTTCTGCTCTTTTAAATATAATTATAGGCAAATCTTGCATTTTATACATGTTCTTTAATTTCATTCTTTCCATTCACTCTGGATTTCACTTTTTCATCTGCCTGATGTCCAGTGGTCATAAATTAAAGCTACAGAATAGATAATTTCAACATGGCTAAAGATTTCTTTTTTTAGACAGAGTCTCAAGCGTTCACCCTGGGTGGAGTGCTGTGGTGTCACAGCTCACAGCAACTTCAAACTCTTGGGCTGAAGCTATTCTGTGGCCCAGCCTCCCAAGTAGTTGGGCCTACAGGTGCCCGCCACAATGCCTAGCTTTTTTTTTTTTTTTTTTAGTTTTGGTGGTTGTCGTTGTTTTAGCTGGCCCAGGCCGGGTTTGAACCCGCGAGCCTTCAGTATATATGGCCAGTGTTCTACCCACTGAAATACCGGCACCGCCAAGATTGGCTCT